AAACTGCTTGTATCCCCTTAAGAGCTTCCTAAAGGGGAATTCAAAGAACTGTCGAGAGGATCCCAACTCATAGCAACCTCAGAAGACAGAGTCCAACTGTCCCACTAGGTGACCAAGGCTGTCCGTCTTGGACGGCCACAACTTTCCCTTCAGGTTGGCTGACAGGTTCAAATTGCCGACATTTGGGTGAGCACATAACCATGGTGCCACCGAAGATCCTGGCTACAAGGAACACTCACTGCCAGGGGTCACAGCGACCCTGCAGGACAGGGTAGAACTGTCCTTGTGAGTTTCCTGAGACAGTAACAGGGGACTCTTTACAGGAGTAGTGAGGAGCAGCAGCCTCATCTTTTTCCTTGGGAGTGACTGGTGGGTTTGAACCACTGGCCCTTTGGTTATCAGTCTGAAGCTCACCGGACAGCACTACATGGTCTCCTAGCTCCAGGGAATGCTGCTCAATGAGTGTTAGCTACGTTACCCTTCCTGCTGCCTCTTGGGCTCCTGTGTGCTGCATGTTGCTATGACGCTGGAAGGTATGCCCCTGATATTCCAAATATCAGCAGGGTCGCCCACGGTGAACACGTTTCAGCTGAGCTTCCAGACCAAGACACACCAGGAAGAAACGGGTTGGCAAGCTACTCCCCCAAATGAACTGCCACCAGTCCTGTGGCTCACGACAGACTACATGGTCAGATGTGAATGCTGGGAGACTGGGCTCTTAGAAAGCTCGTGAGTGACCTCCAGAAACTGGGACTAAAAATGCGATATGAGCAGCCATCCCTTTGTGGGAATGTACCCCCAAGAAGTCAGAGCCCTTGCACCAATGGGTATAAGCACCACCATGTCCATTGCAGCGCTGTCCACAGAAGCAAGGAGCTGGAAACCACCTGAGGGCCCATCCGTGGAAGAACGGATAAATGCACCTAGGGCACCTACACACAGGAACAGGGGCCCTCACTAAAGACTGACAAGGGAACTCTGAATGAGGCACCGCATGGGACCTAGATAAATGTGATGCTGAGTGGAAGCCGCCAGTCACAAGAGGACAAGTGTCGTATGAGGACCACGGTTACAAAGGGGGAAAAAATTAAGAATAAGACGGAGGTTTTCATGGCAAAAGAAACAGACTTTGATGGTTGGGTGGCAGGAGGGCAAGAGAGGGAAGGCGATTAACAGGTGAGAGAGGGGACAGGCAGTAACCTGAGTCAAGAGGAAGATGTAGTCTGTGAGAGGGAGAAGAGAAATCAAAAGGGGGTGGAGGGGGCAGAACCAGCTGTTGGGGGGGGGGAGGTTTGATAAGTCGTTGAATACAAAGCTGGTGATCTTTAAAGGTACCCCCCCCCACACACCTAACATCATCACAAGAGGTTTAAATTTTTTTTTAAAGCTTGTGTGTGTGGATGGATGGATTGTGGTAAGAGTTGTATGAGCCCCCAATAAAATGATTTTTTAAAAATTGATTCAGCCACAAAAAACCCTTGTGTGCGGTCATCGATAGCGCTCCCGTTTGGAACACGGAAGAGCCGAGAAAATGAAAGGCATGAGGAAGTGATTCATCCGAAGAGCTAATGGACCACAGGAATCCCAGCCTCACGAGACCCAAAGGTGCCCAGTGCGGCCACGGCAGCCTGCTCTGGAAGGGATCCCAACCGGAAGTCCGGAGAGCGTGGGAGGAAATGTGGAAGGAAGAATCATTAACAAACAGACCGGGCTTCTTGCCCTGACGGAGACTTGGGGAGCCCCCAGACCGTGGCTCTTGGACATCCTTCAAGCCTGAAGCTGAACTCACCCCCAGGGTTCAACTTCCCGCTGACCAACAGACAGGCCTACCCCAGGAACAATCGAGACAGGGAGGTCCCCGCTTCTTAGAACAATCAAACCATATGCGATCCACAGAGCTGCATTTGTCCAGGGCTAAGTAGGAGCCCTGGTGGCATAGTGGTGATGAGGTAAGTAGTTCAAATCACCAGCCACTCCTCAGGAGAACATCAGGGCTTTCTAGTCCCGTCAAGTTACCGTCTTGGAGACTTGCAAGGGCAGTTCTACCCTGTCCTATAGGATCACGTGAGTCAGAATTGACTTGATGGCAATGATTTTTTTTTTTTTAACTCTCCACAGGCTGGGAGGGATAGGAGCAAAGGGTAAAGGAGAAGGTGAGCATGGGAAGGAAGCGGGCAGAAGGGGAGGGGATTGCAGCCACTATCAGGAGACAAACACGGATGGCCCGTTGAACGGAAGGCCACTTGGCTCTGTTACCCAAATCATAACTCGGAGCGGAAAAAAAAAAGAGAGAGACTGAGAAATGACCCTCCTAAATTAGAAAGCACGCAGCAGGCTCCAGCATACTAAAACCGAACCAAATTCCCTGCCATGGGGTGGGTGCCGACTGTTAGCAACTCTCTGAGACAGGACCGAGTTGCCCCTGAGAGCGGCTGAGACTGAAACCGTTGACAGGCACAGAAAGCCCGGCCTTTCTCCTTCGTAGCAGCTGGTGGTTTCAAACTGCTGACCTTTTGGTTAGCAGCCTAGCTCGTAACCATGATGCCACCAGGGCTCCGCTTCAAGCATACCCGTGGCCAAGACTGGGAGTCAGGATAGGGCGATGGCTTGGTGTTCTTCACGGTGAGCTGGAGCTAACAATCACAAAAGCCCCCTGTGAATGGTGTTCCCCTGCACAGACTGCATCACCTCTTCACAAGCCCTGAGGGGCCGGGGGCTGTCAACCCCGGAGGGAGCTGCTGCACCTCCGAGGGGTGGTTGCTGAAGGTCACAGAGGACCTGGCACTGGATTCGAAGCGCTGGATTCAAAGCCAGGTTCTATCAGGCTCGGAGGGACAAGTGCTTAAGCTCAGCCTCCAGGACCGACAGCACGCGCGTCTCTAACTTCCAGGAGCCCTCGGGGCTCAGAGGACATGGCCCGGGCTCCTCCTGGGAGGTGGGCCGAGGCCGGGGGAAAGAAGGACTGGGCAGCGCCAGTTCCATGGACGCCTCTGCTACGAAAACAAACATTGTCTGCTTAAAACCAACAAACGAGCTTGGATGAGCGGCTGGGGATTACAAAACAAAAACAAAAAACCTCTCCTGTCCAAAGTCCTTGTGTGATCCAGCTTTCAGCAGGCAACTGCTCCGACGGAGGGGCTGGGTCTGCAGTATTTATCAGAAGCCCCAATTCTGCGTTTCTCCTTTCCCCAGCACCTCTCAAAGAAAGACAAGGCCGTTTGGATGCTTGGCAGTACTTCCTAGGGCCAGGGTTACAACCTTGGCAGTCCCTGGCTCTGGAAGGAAAGATGCAGGGTAGACCTTTTGTGTAGTTTGGGGAAGGAAGGAGTGATGGGGATGAGAGGTGTGGAGGGAGGGAGGTGTTTTCCCATGAGCACACAAAGGCAGAACTTGGCTTCTATCGTGAACTGGTGGTTCCAGGAAGCTGAACCTGACCACATGTGGGACAAGGCTGTCTGCTGCT